ATACTTTTGAGGCTGCCAACTGCAGCCAAAAAGGAAGGTGCACAACTATATGTTATAGCAGTCCTATATAGAAATTTCAACCTTTTGAGGCTGCTTGTTTTTGACTTATGCAAAACTACATGTGTACGTACAGACATTGCGGGAAAAAAACTCTTCTTAATTCATTTTAAATGAATTTTATAACCTGTTTGGGGAAAAAGAGTCTTTTATTCAGTCCTTACATACAGATGTCGTGCAAAAACATCACTACATTGTATTCGATAGTAGTCAAAATGGATATTTTCATTGAAAAATTATACCTGGAATTTTTCCTCATTACAATACTTCCTTCACTTCATACAAAGAAGTAAAAATAAACTACTCTGTTACGTTTGTTTAAAAGCACATCACATAAAATTTCACAACAAGATACATCATTCAAAATTGACTATTCACAACAATGCATATATTTCAACCAAACTTCACATCTTTTTCAAGACTGCAAAATAATTAACTTATCTATAGATCATGATAAAATTATTTTATAAATATACTATCAACCATACATATTAAACAAGATTAATAATACACATTAGAGCATGATCTAATGCAACAAACAAAATAAGCATCTAAAACAATTAACAATAAACAAATATTGAATATTTGATAAAAACAAGCAATATTTAAAGCACTTTTACATTACAATTTGATATATCTGCTCTTTAACTAGAAATATACAAAGAGATAAAATATTATATACACAATATAATATCAACATGTTAAATAAAATAATTGTCAATTAAAAAGTAAAAGCTTTTTTATATAACATAATAACAAAATTTTTTAATATAACATAATAACAATTAAGTAATTTCTGTTATAAGCTATAAAAATATGTGTATACTTATTTAATTTTTTAAATAACATAAAATTTTCAATCTTTTTTAGTTTACTCTTCAATCCCAAACAATCAGTCAATAAACTTACAAAAATGTTTTTATTTCCCTTAATCTCACGAAAATTACAAGATGATCACTATAAGAATAGACTTTGCAGTAAAATACTGTACTCCTGAAGAAATTTTAGAGCAGTTTTCCTCCACTGAAAGCAAATTGCTCAGGACATATTGTAAAATTGAGTTTTAATAAAAAAAAAAATTCAATAAAATGTCCATAAAATTGTTGGATTTTGGAATATAACAAAAAGAACATACAGGAAAATAGGTACTTGTTTGTTAAGCTAAAGAATTGTTATTCACTTGCTTGTTAAGCTAAAGAATTGTTATTTACATGGTTGCCACAGTTCATATTCTGAAAATTTGACAACTTTTACTAAGGTGGTTTCACTAAGTACAAAAATATCCGGCATCTCATATAGCCCAAAGCCAGTAAGAAAAGACACAGGAACTACAATTTTTCCCACATTTTGTGTTAGTATCTAATATGACACTTCTGTTGCACGGGTTACCAGATACTAGCACAAATCAAGATACATTTTTTTTTAAAATTATTTTTCTCTGTAGACAAATTTGGACAGAAAGATTTGTTTTTGTTTACATTTTTTATCTTACTTGGTTTTTCCAACTCAGTAAATATTAGAAATTGCAATATGATTCTTAATAACCTTAAAGAGATTCAGAAGCCAGTTAAGACATCTGAAGGTTAATCAAAATCGTAAAAAACAACCTTATATTTAGCGTAGGTATAATGAAACACTCACATTGAGTGTTTCATTATACCTACGCTAAATATAAGGTTGTTTTTTACGATTTTGATTGTCACATTAGCGTGTTTCTCTTCTAGTCTATCTGAAGGTAAATTTTTTTTTTTTTTTTTTTAACAAAAAGAAACAATCGTGATTACCCATACTACACTGACCAAAAATTACTGAAATGCAGCTTCAATTTTTTCCCAGACATTGCATAAGGCTATTCTGATTTCAGTTAAAACATATCCAATATTCATTGGTTTGTTCTAAATATTTTGCTTTCTCCACTGTATGTCAATATTATAGACATTACCTCATGCACTTCTTATAAAAATGTTAACTAGAAATTAAATCTGCATTTTTATTAACAGAAGTTAGCTTACTGCAATTTAACACTTCACTTCTATTTGTAGGTCACAATATGAAATTAAAATAAGAAGTTATAATAAAAATAATCCAAAAAGTTTTTATAGAGGTGTTAATATTTTAAATGCAAAATCTAAGGAAAGCTATTAAAATATTAGTACAATATATATTACAGTCAAAAGTCTTTAATCCGAACTCGTCGGGACTTCGGCGATTCCGGATTATAGATCATCAGTTTAAATCTGGTAAGATGGCATGCAGAAAATATACAATTAAAAAATATGAAATCGTAATTTCTGAAATAAAGAGCAATTGTGATCTAAAGAGTATAAAAATTTACCAAAAAAAAAAAACCTTAATATTTATTTGTTTACTTTATTAAACATTTCTTTCAACGCGCGCATGCGTAAAGCATACATTACGCATAGTGGAAATTAGAAAATTGCAACCAGAAAACTATTTTATGCGTATTCGTGATGTTTATAATGACGAGGAGTACATCGAGATGAAACACTACATTTAGTAAGGAATTGTAAGCCGAATAAAATAAAAACATCTGCCCTGAAGATGAGTATAGTGCTGACAGATCAACTTCCAGTTCATTGCGCACAGCGACGTCCCCCCCCCCACAGAGCAGTGTGAAATTGATAAACAGATTTCGGAATGGTTAGAGAAACAAATCACCTCTCTGTCACTTTCTTTATGCCTTTATCCATTTTTTGCAGCAATTCCCCTTTTTGATTAATGGACATTGAAACGTGCTTTCGCCTTGTAGATCCTTTGGCAGCTCCAGAATTGGAAATTCTATTTGACATAATCGAAAGTTCAAGCTTACTTTTATAAAATTGCTCTGACAGTCTGCAAAAAATAATAAGCCGAATCCAATTCGAAGATTAAGGAACAACGCAATCTGCAACATTAACTGAAATAGATAATTAGATAATTTTAGCTTAGCTTATATCGTCCGTTATACATTATGTATTTATGCATGCATAAATGTGCGCATGCGTAAAGCTATTACGTGCATAATGCGTTTACGCATGTGCTGAAAGTTTGTAGCTTTGAGGTCCGGATTACAGACTTTTGATTGTATAAATGTCTTAGCAAAAATGTATAACAAAATGTAAAGAATTTTCAGACAGACAAAAGTCATATTATGAAAATCAATAAAGATCACAAATTCAGGTTTTAATTGCTTCACCAGCAGTTGAAGCTGAAGTAGTTTGCAAGTTAAACTGCTTCAATACAACTTACAAATTTTATTTTATCAATCTAAATCTTTTTTTATTAATCGGAATATCTAAAAATGTACTGTTTTAACAATAAAAAATTAATAAATAAATAACTTGACTGATTTGTAATTTTTCCAACATATAATTTTTAGATAATGTTTAGGAATTTCACTGTGAAAGTTATTAGCAATATTAAAAATGTATAATTTAAATTATTTTGTTAAAATACCAAAACTGTCTCCAAATAGAATGGATAATCCTAAAGGGTTAGATAGAAAAAGATAAAAACTACTAATCCATACTTAACGTTCAAGTGTAGTGCAACAGTAACATTAAAATAAATTTACTTACTATCTATATGCAAAATACTTATTCACCAGTGGATGCCAATTCATTGCCACAGAAATGAATAACTTTTAATATCTGCACTATCAAAATAACTTTCATATTGAAAATTTTCTCAAAAAATTTATATAATCAAATTATGAAATGAAGAAACTTAAACTCTCATTGAATTAGTCAAAATTATGCAGTTTCCCACAAAAAGAATGTATACGAAGTAACAATAGGCAAATGTCTATTATGAAAACATAAATAATAAAATGAAAATAGAAATAAATAACGAATTATGAAAATATAAATAACACTTACTTTTATTAATCAAGATAATAGGATTATTCCACAACAAAGAAATACGAGATTCAAATGACATTTTTATCTATAGCTTAAAAAGTTGCTTTATACATAGAAATGCAATATTTCCAGACAATGCATTTTAAGCAACTTAAACACCTCCATGATATTAGCCTAATGATCTACTATATTGCACATCTTTAGATCTACTATATTGCACATCTTTAGGATTTTGAAATACACGTAAAATTTTGAAGGCCATGCATAAAAATAAAATTCAAAAGTAATTATTTGCTTGTGACCTATTTCGGTTAGAGTAGACTTTAGGGACCCCTTGTATTATGGCGAAGTTGTTTCATTTATTACCAAGTTGTTGTTTCATTTATAGTAGCCTGAGTAGTTGAATGTTATGGAAACTCTATTGTCACGTAATTGGGTGCATGATTCTGGGAAATTTTGAATCATGGGATGTTTTGTAAGAGCTTTTGTGGTGTGTGTTGGTTTTACTGTTTAGACGGTAGAATAGCTGAATGTAGTAAGATTAATTTGAAGTTTCTGTACAATTTGGAACGAAAGGGGAAAAGAGCATTAATTGACTGGTGTGTAAATGACAGTTTACTTAGTAGCCACTTAGTGTCCTATATGTAGGAAGGATATGCGTCTAGTTGAACGTGAAACCATTTAGATTAATTTGAATGGGTTTGTAGGAAGAAAGGTTCAGATGATCACTATGTGAACCGTTCTATCAGAAAGAGTACCTGGTTTGAAAAAAAGTCATTTGAGTATGATTGATATTTTTATTTTTACGTTACTCTGGGTGTACGAAGCAAACTTGAAAATCATGGTAAGTGAATATTTGCTTTTGGTAGTGCTTAAGTGTATAACATGTTTTTCCTTTTTTATGTTATTTCATTGTTTGGTTTAAAATGTAGTTTACTGAGATTATGTATTTTTTGTTTGCCTGTTTTGTAGAATTGGGTGCTCCTTTGACTTTTTAAGTGAAAATATATCGATGTGTACAAGTGAAGGGAGTGCGCAATGCAAGTTTGTGCAATTCTTGGTTTTTTTTAAGTAAAAATAGGTCGACATGTACATGGATAAAGTCAAGGGAGTGTGCAATGCCATTTTTGTGCAATTTGGGGTTTTTTTTTTAAAGTGAAAATAGATCGATGGTTATATGGATACCGAGTTTGTGCAATTCTTTGTGTAGCAGCAATTTTTGACGGAAAAATTACTGTTATGCAAGCCAAAATAATAAGTCAAAGAATTGCACAAACTTGGTATCCATATACCGCCAAAAATCGCCAAGGGGTACCCTAAAATATACTTTTACCACCTATTTCTAATGAATAAGTTTTATTAACATCTATGCAAAACATTTAAAAATAAATACAGCATACTGCAAATAAATAAAATCATTTACTCTAATAGCAATCTTAATTAAAACTTCTAATTTTAGCAATGATTAATTTGATTATAAGCATACTTATCATGAAAGAAGTTAATTTTTAAGTCTTGCAACTTTGTTAAACACTTTGTTACAATTCTGAAATCATAAACATTTTTAATTGATCTAATGTAATTTTAAAGCTACTTAAACTCATTCATTAACATCATACAATTTTCTTGTAACATAAACTGATTTTAAAATAGTCAAGTGAACAAAATATTATACTCTTAGCTGAAACAATTAAAACAAGTATTTCTTTCTTAAATGCACTTTAAATTTATTTCTAGAAATATGAAACTTTCAATTTTGTTTTTAATGAAATTAAAATAAACATCTAATTAAAGAAAAATAATGAATGATTTTAAGAAATCACACTATAACTGCATTGTGCTTCATACAGCATTATTTTGAAGATGCTGTTTCCTGCTCTTCCAAATGAGCCTTATTAGCTGAATTCCCTTCACTTTCAGTCATATTTACATCTTCAGACGTTTTTCCTTTTCCTTTTCTTTTAATCTGCTCACCATAATTTGCAAATGAAAATATTGTCGGATATGCATCACTTTTTAATGTTCTCCTGCATTTCTGAACTCCTTTGACAACAAAAGAATCTTCAGTAAAATGTTCTGAACAAATAACACTGTATTTTGATGGTTCCCAGGTACCACGTTTTATTTGGTATAACCACAGCTTTAGAAGATGTGTATTATTCAATGGAAATCTGCTAACAGAGAACACATTTTTGGATAAATCAATATACATTTAATGAAAAATAAAGTTTTATAAAGAAAGACATTATAATTTTGATAATTTTTGAAATTAATAAACATATAAAAATTAGAAAATTTACATAAAAATACAATTATAACTTTTATTAACTTTCAGTGCAAAAATCGTGTTTTTATTTTAATTTCATTAGATATATAGTTTATATCAATATTTTTACAAAAAATCTTTTTATAACTGTAGAACTCAAGAGCCTATAAGTTATAATTTTACATCTAACTGAATTCATTCATGACAAATAACTAATACAGTCAAAAGTCGTTAATCCGGACTCGTCGGGACTTCAGCGATTCCGGATTATAGATCATCAGTTTAAATCTCTAAGATGGCACGCAGAAATTCTAAAATTAAAAATATGAAACCGTAATTTATGAAATGAAGAACAATTATGATCTAAAGGGTATCAAAATTTACAAAAAGAAAAAGCTTAATATTTATTTGTTTACTTTATTAAACATTTCTTTCAATATAAGTTGTTTAAGTTGCTTCGTTTCATGTGATAATACTTTCTCTCTAATTCTATTAAACATACATAATTTCTTAATATTTCATAATTTAGTTACAAAGTTCCGCTGTTCAAGTCCTATAATTGCTGTATCGAGAATACCGACTAATTTGTCAATCGAAATTTTTTCGTTTTCAATAACCACTGTGTCACTTTCTTCACTATCAGAAGTGAATTATTATGACGAGGAACTTGATTTAAATCACAGACGGAGTACATCGAGATTAAATACTACATTTAGTAAGGAATTATGAGCCAAATAAAATAAAAACATCTGCCTTGAAGATAAGAATAGTACTGACAGATCAACTTCCAATTCATTGCATGCCACGGCGTTTTCCGTCCGCCGCAGCAGAGCAGCGTGAAATTGATAAACAGATTTCGGATTTCAAAACATACTTTCGCTTTGTAGATCCTTTACATATTAGTAAATATATATCAAAAATTCTATTTGACATAATCGAAAGTTCAAGCTTACTTTTATAAAATTGCTCTAATAGTCTGCAAAAAATAATAAACCGGATCCAATTCGAAGATTAAGGAACAACGCAATCTGCAACATTAACTGAATTAGATAATTTTAGGTTAGCTTATACCGTCTGTTACACATTCAAAGCACATGCGTAAACGTATTATGCGCTTGCGCACATGCATATTCGCAGCCGTTAAGGTCTTATGCGCACGCGTAAACGCCTATGCGCATGCGCAGAAAGTTTGTAGCTTTGAGGTCCGGATTATAGATCATTCTGCATTATGGGTGTCCGAATTAACGACTTTTAACTGTAATATTTTTTTTTGCCTTAATTATTATTGATCTGAAGAGCAGCATTTTCTCCCATCCTTGATCTCTGGGTGACAACGGAGGAAATTTTTCTTTATTGAAAGCAATGCAAGCACATTTAGTCTTTCCAAATTCTAGTGCTTCTTAGAACAGTTTTCATTCTTTTCAATGTTGAAAAGCAGCGTTCTACCTCTGATGTAGTCATGGGAACGCTCAAGAGAATTTTTATCAGTTTCGTAATTCCACTAAGAACATCATCTAAATTATTTTCGAAGATAAATTTCAGTAGCTCATTTAATTTGCAGTATTCATGGATATCAGACCTACAATAGAATACTTTTAGTTCAGTTTCAAGCTTTTCTTTGTCAATCATTGGATATGCTTCAGTGGTCAGTACTATTTCTTCTGTAGAATATTCATTACTAAAACTAGCGAAGCATTTCTTGTTTAACAATTTAGAAGCTGCTAAGTGTTTAGTGGAAGAATATCTCTGCATTATGTGAATACATAGTATAAAGTCACATATTTCCTTCTATTCTTCTGCGATCGGTGTCTTTGGAAAATTCTCACAGTACTTTGAGTTTCTTAATTCTAAGATAGCAGTTTTGGAATTTGTTATATATTCGTTAACTTTAAACACACTAATTTCTCTGAATTGCATTTGATTGTATATTATTTCTCAACATGAGCCATCTGATAAAAAAAGCTCTAACCAAAACTTAAAATTATCGTATACCGTAATTTCCGGAAGAAATGCCGCGGCGTTTACGTGTTTAAAACTTAAATTTTCAGGGGGTGCGGCGTTTAGGTGCACTAAAAATAAAATATTTCCTATAATGGTCATTGTACATAGTTTGGATGGCCTTGTCATTGTGCATAGATTGGTGCTGTTCCCACACAAAAGACCACTCAGTTGCTTTTTGCGAATGTTATTTTGTTAACGTTCTTTCCCTTGAACGGACCTACATGCCTTATTCACCCTAAACGAGATCTCAGAACAGTAACATTCTTCCCCCTTTCAAATCAACATTCTCATCAGTTTGAATAGTCTCTCTCCTCTGCCATTCGATGAATCTTCCAGGACCCATCCTCTTTCCACCCCTGCCTTTTCTGCAATTTTTTTCAAAGGTGGACACGACTCCACCTGCCTCGCAATAACGAACTCTGACGTATTTCCCCTTCCGCATGAATGGATTTTTCTTGGCATTCTGCCAAATACAGATCCCATCAGTTAGGGTACAAGTACTTGTTGGATAGTTTTTAATTAGGGAGCGGAAAATTTTTGAAAATGTCTCTAAACGGCACAGAAGCTATACATTTCTTACCTTTAATTTATTTTTGAGTTATGGTTTCATTTCATGCATTTTTCTTAACTGGTATGTCATATATCAGGACTTAGGTTGAGTTTTTGCATCTATACGGCCCACGACGATGTCACACGCAATTTAATTTATTGCGGCGTTTCTGTGTAATTAAAATTTTTTTCCCGCAATTTTTCTCGAGTGCGGCGCGGCGTTTACGCTGATGCGGCCTTTCTTCTGGAAATTACGGTAGTTTTTTATTATTATTATTAGTATTATTTTTTAATTCTGTTGCTTTTGCAATAGTTTGATCTGCATTTGATGTTGATTGAATTTCAGTAAGGCAATTCTTTAAAGGTTGCAAATTTTCATGAACTCTGTTTATGGCCCGTATGATGAAGTTCCCCCTTGTGGAGGAATACCACACGCGCGGAATAAAAAGAAATCACGTTTCCAACAACATGTCTGAATTTCGGCACTGCAAGAGCAACAGTGCTACTCTGTTTATGGTCCGTGTGATGAAGTTCCACCTTGTATAGGAACACCACACGCGCGGCAAAAAAAGAAATCACGTTTCCAACAACATGCCAGAATTTCAGCACTGCAAGAGCGACAGTGCTCTTCTCGCTACCCAGCTCGCGTGCTGCTTTCTGTGCGCGCATGCGCAGAACAGCCAAACACCACGTCGCTGGAACTGTGAAGCGCGCAGTTCTAAAGAATTTCGTACCTTTTTCACAAAGTAGGGGATGGCAACTGACATTAAGCTTAAAAATTATGTATTGTAAAAAAAAGAATTAAAGACTAAAGGGCACACTATATTAAATATTAAAAATAATAATACGTGGAAATAGGGGGTGCTGCAGTTCCACAGTGCTTATTACGAGCCGCCACTGGTCCATGTACACATCAATCTATTTTCACTTAAAAAAAAAAAATCAGAAAATTGCACAAACTTGGCATTCTGCACTGCCTTGACTTTGTCCATGTACACATCGATCTATTTTCACTTTAAAAAAATCAGAAGAATGATGATGTCATTATAAGGTTAAAACAAAGTTACTAATCACCAAAATTGAACAAAATTTACAGCCAATCGAAGCTTAATAAACTGCACTTTAAATCAAACAATGAAATAAAATAAATGAAATACACGTTCTCTCATATATACACTACAAAAAGGAAAAACAGTACGAAGTCCGAGATCCCGAATCGGCGGAACTTTGGTGATTCCCGATTTGGGATTTTCCCGTATCATCAGTTTAAATCTAGTAAAATGGCATTTAGAAATTACAATATTAAAAATATGAAATCATGATTTATGAAATAATGAAGCATTTATGATCTCAAGAGTGCCAAAATTTACAAAAAAAAAAAAAAAAAAAAAAAAAAAAAAAAAGGTTCTATTTAGTTACTTTATTAAACATTTCTTTCAATGTAAATTGTTTAAGTTGCTTCGATTTTTGTGTTAATGCTTTCTCTTTAATTCTATAGACAGATATTGTTTCTTCTTCAGTTACAAAGTTCCATTTTGTTTCAGTCCTGTAATTGCTGTGTCGAGAATTCCGTATAATTTTTGCCTATCTTAATAATGCCTGCTATACATTACTGACTATGTGTCATGAGATTGGAGAAGAAAGACAAGTTCTCCCGCTAAATTTTGTCTTGCTTCAATAGTTCACTACTGAAGCTGTTAAGCCTGAATTCTATTAATTTAAATATTTGTTATACTTGTGTCTATTTTTTGCACATGATTAAGGCTTATCCAAGTACCAAATAAGTAAATTCGCACATATACTTAAGGCTTATGGACGACCGGTGCTAGACATCTTTCTGCCTGATGCAGTCTCTGGGGGTCCTAAATTCTACTACCTAGCGCACCTCCGAGTTCTGAATTTTTGCCTCCCCTAAATTTTGGATCCCAATGCTTTTCCTAAATTCTAAAAATTTTGCCATCCTTTAATTTTGCTGCTTGGTGATTCTCTAATTTCCAAAAATTTTCTCTTTCCTAAATTTTGCCGCCTGAAAATTATTTATGCATTGCTGCATGGGTCAGTACTCAACAAGTGTTGATACACATGGGGTGACGAAAGCAAAATATAATGATAATTTGATAGGTTGGCAGCAGGGATATAAAATGTTAGTAGTATAAAATCAATGATGTTTCTATGTAGAATGTTTTGGTTTAAGAGCAAGCAGATACACAGCTATGAAGCCAAATTATTGATAACACAAATTTATGCTGAAATGATCGTTTCTTGAATAACAAGTGCCAAGAACAACAACATATTTAGTGCCGAAGTGAAATTAAGAAACGAAACCCTCTACATTTTTTATTAAGGGGAAAAAAA